TTTCAGAACTAGGAGAGAGAAAGAAAGAAAACATGAAGAAATTTACCTTCTAGAAATTGAAGTAAAAAAAACCAAAAATCAACCAACCAAAAAAACCCAAGAAACAGCAACACCACCAAACAACAAAATGCAAAACCCAGAAAGACTTCAGCAGCCACAATCTGATCACTGTTACTTCCAAATTACAGTTAAACTACTTTTATCTCGATCTTCAGTTACAATGTCACACAAAAAAGACCTCTGTCTGCCTCTCATAACTACATCTAACACCAACCATTCTTAAGCATAAATATTTTTACACTTCAACTCAGAAATTAGTGTTTGGCTTATCTTCTTTACTCATCTCATAGCTTCTACCACCACACTCTGAAACCTCATCTGTGTATGAAATCCAACAAATTCCCTTCAGCATGAGCACATGGGACCACAGCAGTCTCTTGGAAAACAAAAGCAAACCCTGACAGAGCAAGAAGAAACACTGAGCAAGGAGGCAGACTGAATGAATAGCACTGTACCTGCTGTGCACGTTGTAACACAGAAGCAAAACCCCACACGTGGCATCCAAATCCCAGTTCTGCCAAAGGCCTGCCCAATTAAGAGTTCTCAATTATCCCTTCTGGTTACCAACCACCTGTGCAGCCAGCTGGTGGAACCTGTGGTGGGTTTATCACATGCCACACAGGCAATTCTAGTTACCCCAGGATACTGTTTTGAAGACTGTTGCTTGCAAAAGCACTTCCAGTGTGGCTTAAGAATGCCAGGATCTTTCTGGAACTAAATGTGTATTTTTTCTTGTAAAGCACTTGGAAATCGTTGCATTACAAGTGCAAAGCACATGATGACTGCTGCTAACAAAGTTAGTGGTATAATACAAACATGTCTTCCAATTACAGAAATGTTTGCTCACTGTCATGGTCCTCTAGCACTGGAAATATGTATGTCCTCTAACCCATTTCGGCCAATTTTATAATTTTAAAAGTGTGCCAGCTATTTCTTCAGAATTTACGTGAGTACTACCAAGGAGCAAAAGGGAATACAGCTGGGAAGCAGAAGAAAGTTTCAGATGAATTTGTCCATGGTTAACCCACAGTTGTTCTTTTTCCACTTTATTTTCTAAATAGTTTATTCACAGAGGATTTAGAATTTCATTATTAGACCATTAGTGATTGAAAAAGACAGTTGTGTTGAAGCTTGGAGTAAACAGGTAGGGGTAGTGAGAAGGAGGGAAGGGTGAGAGGAGGGAAAGAAGAGAAGGTGGAGAGAGATGGAGAGAAAAATCCTGGCCATGCAGATAATTACAGGGATGGCTGAGAGAATTGGGCTGTTCAACCTGAAGAAGGTTCCAGGAACTTCTAATTGAGGCCTTCCAGCACTTGGGAGGGGCCCTAAAGATGGGCATTAACACTTTAGCAGGGCTTGTTGAGATAGGACAAGGGATAATGGTTTTATACTGAAGAAGGCTGGATTTATAGAAGGAAGAAATTTTCTACAATGAGGGCAGAGAAGCACTGAGCATGCTGCCCAGAGGTGTTAGATGTCCCATTCCAGGAAACATTCAAGGTCAGGCTGGATGGGGCTCTGGGCAGCCTGCTGGGGTTGGAGATGTCCCTGCTCACTGTAGAGGGGCTGCCTTAAATGGCCTTTAAATGTCCTTTCCAACCCAAGCTGTTCTATGACCATTATTAATACTGAATGCTCGTTTCTATCTGTGCCTCATCTTCAGCTCATTATCTTCAATAACATTGAGAAAATGGTCTGAGGGAAGTGTTGGAGGGCACCAGAAAAAGATCCAGAAATGATTTGGCTTGTTCAAGCTAAGTCTTGGATTTTTTTTTTTTTTTTAATAAAAAGATGCCTGATATAACTACTCCAATATGAGCATTAACCCATATGTGTAGAATGGGACTTTTCAGGCTAAACAATATCTGTCTGTTGACTTGTTTTTGAATGAACAGTTTAAAATTTTATAAGTTTTAACTGTTTTAATGAAAAAAAATTCCAAAATAAAGCAGCCAAATAAACCAGAAAAACTTTTCTTGAAGTCTGACAGTTATTCTGTATGGATTTTCTGACACAAATTTGGAGCAAGATTGCTTCTCCAGTACCCGAGTTTTCAGCTTAAATAGCTTTCATTTTGCAGAACTGATCTGTAAAACCTACCATCTTAAAGCAATTTTCAGAACATTTTCAACAGCTGGAATCCAAAAATTCTGCAGGAACTCTATTTAAATCTTGCTAGTAAGCAATATATTAACTAGCTTTAATTTCATTGTTCAGAAGAAATATATTAAAATAATTAACAATTGATAGAAATAATTTATTTTCTCAATGTCTATCTTCAATAACTGTAGACCCACCCATAAATAAGACTGCCTGCTCAGGGGAGCAGAGCTCTAAACATAGCTTTTTCAAAGCTATTTTGCCCCTCCTGCACAGAGCTGTCAGTGTAGTGCTGCATGTGTTTGATGGCAAATGGAAACTCAGGCTACTTTAAAAATTTCCCTTTTTCAGTCCTTACACAAGAACTGCTGTCTCCAGAACCTCACTTAAAAATTATCTGAAATGTATCTTTAGCATTTTCAGTTCAGCCTCTCCCCATTAAGTAAATCACTTGCCAGGGAATATCTTGTTTGTACATATTACTTCATAAACCAGAAATATTTGGTCAGCAACACAGCTAAGAGAACACTCAGCTGCCAGCAGTACTAGTACCTCATGAGATGTGGGAGACAAGAGGAAGTAAATGCCATTAGTTTCCACAAAAGCACGTGCTTTTTGTAAATGCTTTGAGAATTGTCACAACAAAATACAGTAGCCATTTGACTTTTGGAAAGGCTTTTTACTTTTTTATAGAGATCAGTTGAGGAATTTGCCTCCTTAAACTCTGAACCAACACCCTGTCTCAGTGGCTCAGGAGCAAAAACCAAGCTATTACAGCATCAAGTGATCATTTATGCTGGCCTTTTCATCAGGTCAAAAACAAGTTCTTCTCTCCAAGAATTTGAACTCCATGATGGTTTCTTCTTCATCCCTCTAAAATGCTTACCTCAAACATAATTTCTCTTCACAGGGAAACACAAGTAAAGCATCAAACATCACATTTGAAAGCTACTGTTTCTGTGTTTTGAAATTCTGCTACTGTCTGCTGGGAGGAATATACCATTTTGTAGGACAGAAAGTAGCTTTCTCCCTGATGCTCTTTGACAGCAGATCCTTGTCTCTGTAGTTAAAGCTTCTCTTTAATAGGCAGCAGACATTATATTCATTGGAAGAGTACTGCCAAAGGAATGCAGGGAAGTGGTTGAATGCCAAGCCGCAAGAAATGCTTCAGTAAACAATTCAAGAATATAATTTATGACAAAACCAACCACTTATTTGGCAATTAGCAAAACAAATCCACAACTTTGCCCAATTATCTCTAAAAATATTTTGTTTTCCTTATCTATGACAGTTTTAAGTTCTCTGTAACAGTTTTTAGAGCCATATATACAATTGATATCAAAGCACAGCAAAAATAGTATGTGTTTCAACGTGCTGATTATACTACTCTGTGGAAAATAGCACAAGTTCAGAGAACTGAAATTCATGCAAATATGCTGGATACAAATGACAAATTCTCCTACAACATTCATGTAAAAAATTTTTTTTAGTTTTTGCACTTAAAATTTTGTTTGTACAGACAAAGCACCTTTTGGGAATTTTTTTCAAGACCTTTTTGATTAATACATCAACATGAAGAATGTATTAAAATAGTCACTAAGGGACAATTCACAAATATTAAAGATCCCTTTTTAAAAGCAAGTTAGTTCCTTCAAAATCAATCAGCTCTTAGGTGAACTCAAAACCAAGGGAGATACTCTGCTCCGATTTTTGCATCTCTTTTTTTATAAGGGTTTTCACAATGCAGTTCTCATCATTTTTCCCATTACTTTTCTTCTGATTTACAGCATTAAAACCTGAGTTTTAGTTTCCTCTTTTTCCAAGTGTCCGGTACATCTAGAACATTCCCTGCCTGGCAATGAATTCCCTTTGTCATGCTTTGTTTGAAGACACACATGTAAATCAGGCACTGTGCCAGGGGGACAGCAGATAGAGGGGCGTGCTCCTTCTCCTGGCTGGCCCGAATGCACCAGTCAATCACTGCAAGCCATTGCATTGCCTAAGGCATCCTGGTACCCTGCTCCTTCCCTCCTCCCAACCCCGAGAGCACTCCCAGCTGTAGCTGAGGGAAGGAGCACACACAGGGGGATGTGCAGCCACAGAGAGGCCACTTTTTCTGCAGAGGGGCTGCCTGAAGCTGCTGCATGCTGCTTGCTACCTTTCCTGGCTCATGCAACCAAGCCTTGCAGGTAGACTCACTGACAATCAGGTTGGTAAATCTGCCTCAATTACTCTATTTTACCATGGGGAAATCCTCTGCTATGGAAAGGTTTACCCAGACTGTTTAGGGAACATCTATCCTTTCCCTTGCTGTGGCAGATCTCCTCTGATATCGGTTGTCTCAGCCCCTTCTGGGACAAGCACGTTCATTCTTCCTTGATGAACAGATCCCAGTAAAAATCTAGAGATTCCATTTCAGAAAGTCTTTCTTTACCTAAAGCTTTTTCTTTTCTTACTGACTTAGCCTTATGTCTTATGCTTAAAGAAATAAGACTCATACTGAATAGATTTCTTTTTATTCTTCCAGTTTGCTGCATTGCAAGCAGCTATTAAAATGATTTGTAATACAGAACTGAATGTGGGCTTCATCAGTGGCACTCAAGATTTGAGGCTGACAGATAATGAACTACCAGTTTTCCAAGTAGCTGCTGACAGTCCTAGAAAGGACCAAGTTTAGCCTACTGTAACATACTGCACATGGATTTAAAAAAATGCCCTAAAACACAACAGCCATTTCCTTCAGGCACTTCCAGAAACCAACTCCAGAAGGTATATTTGAGTTCTACACAAAATAAATAAGAATCACAGTACTTTAAAAGCCCAAACACAGGAAGACTACCTTCTGGTTTAAAAATATTTATTTAAAAGAAAAGGAGATCTATACTTGAATGGCCAGGAAAAAAAAAAAAAATCCTCAGTTTCCCCCCTCAAAACCGTTACTCTGTAATTTACCTTTCCCTTCAAGTTTCAGCTTCAATGTTCTATTAAAAAAAAAAACAACCGAATTTTCATTTCCTTTTCCTATGCTACTATCCTGAGGAAATTAAGCTCCATTCAGTGAAAAGTTGCATGGGATGCAAGAAGAAACTGCAATAAAATGTATCCACAATATACAAGTATAAAAATATTTTGCTTATGGTTCAGTACTATAATTTAATAACTTTTTGTTGTTTCATAGGTATCTGGGAAAGGTACAGACACATGTCCTGATCCTGTTACAAGAGGTAGAATGCCAGCATTTGGTACAACATTCCAGGAGAGAGTCAAGGTGATATTCCTGTTTCCCCTGCAAAAGCAACAAAGACTATCAGCACAAACACTCAAGTTAAGTGATTTAATTAACAGTTACTAGTATTAAATAAATTAGGATACAGATTGTTTATCTGCTCCAGAAACAACAAGCTGTTTAATTTTAGGTAGTTACTGCCTACTTTTTTTTTACTTGACTCCTTTGGAGTTGGGTGCATCACAGAACCAATTTTACAGAGACTGAAGGCAGAAACCCAGAAGCCTGTTGCTCATAATAGCGGTGCATCTTCCAGTCTACAGAATACATAGGATATCTTGTACCCCAAGGCCATCTTCTAACAATGAAAGATGCAATAGAGATGACAGAGTATCACACAGAATACAGGTACCTTACTACACCAATGAACACGTGTATTAAATGCAAAGTATGTAAGTAAATCAAGATACCATGAACACTAGTAATAAAACAAATATTTACTTACTTGAGACCATTTCCATCATCAAAGAAAAAGTACTTTGACTTCATGTCTTTTAAGGACAGCCTTGGGTTATCTCCTCTCAACATGATCTTGTCCCAAAGGACCACCTGATTTAGGGCCTAAAATCACAATTGTAATTAAGTCAGCAAGGTATCTTACCAGATCACATTCAGACACTGGACCTTCATTGTACTATTCCTGTAAAACCCCCTTTTGCAGGTACATGCTTGCAATCCATAACTAATTTAACAAAGTAACACTTCACAGTGGGGTAATGTAATACTACTGCACAGTGAAGTGTGGCATGGAATAAATGCAAACAACAAGGAACATCTTAAAACACAAGAAAGACATTTAAAAAGAAGTCATATGCTTTAGAAGAATTACAAAGCATAAAGGGATTTCCTTCTGACTTGCAAAGGTAAGTCACTTTCAAAGCAGTATTTACACTTTGTTTCAAATAAAGGACTTAAACTGAGTTAGCATGACTCTGCTTATGTCCATATCATTTTTCCAACTTTAATGGAAATCTCTATTTTAATTGCAAGCATAACCCCAAAAAATTTATTAACAGTTGAAAAAGTGAGATCCCAAGTTCTAACATTACCGGAATTTACACTCTAAAGTGTAAATTCTTTACACTCTAAAGTGTAAAGTTGTTTCAAGTAGATGCTAAACAGTCTTGTTTAGTAATTTATAGAACAATTTAGAAAAATACATCTCAGTATTTCTGAGAAGTGTTGAGTTACATGAAAGAAAAATCTAAAATATGGAACAATACAGTAAAATCACTGTACAATCTAGTACAAACACAATATCCATCATCTTATTTAATATAACTAAGGTACTTAAAAAAAAATTTAAAAAGAAGGACAGTTTTGTACAGCAAGTTAAGAAAACCCCCAAGTTTCACCATATCCTTGCAATGTGACCACAGCAGCTTTAACTAGAATTCAGTGGTACTATGGCAGCATGGTGTTTCATGAAAGCAATTTTTTAAAGGCTGCTCCACATAGCTTTTATCAGATTAGTAAAAAGGGTTTTCAGCTATCCCAAAGGGAAGGCTCAGTAGCAACCAATTCAAAGCAACATGGCAAATTATTTTGAGAAGTATGACAAGGTAATGTAAATGAATTACGGGGCTACAGTAACTGGTAGGATCAACTGTGATCTATGAACAAAATACACACCACATCGGGACAGCCCAGAAGCCACTCCCTCTTGTTTCTAACAACAGTCAACTGCAGAAATTCCGAAAAAAAGTAAAATGGACAGAAAAGGTGAAAAAACTCATTTACAGTATACTGCAACACAAGGCATGTGTTATTTTTCTCCCATTCTACTGGGCATATATCAAGTTAGGTTTTATGGAGGTGAACTTCCCAGCCTACGGTTTAACTGTCAAGAAAATAATCATGAAGGCCAGTGCAGGCTAGTAGGAAATGCTGGTGGCCTTAACTCTTCTCAGCAGAACTACAGAATGATTAAAAATAGCTGCAGTACTAAAATGAGTAATTGCTTCAAACCTCTTTTTAATACTTACATTGTTTTTCGTTGAATATTCTGCAGACAAATATAGAAACAATTGTTTAACATTCCAATCAAATATACTCTGCAGATGTATGCAAGTTAAGAAAAATACCATACTGTACTTACATAACCTTGTTTTATCTTTACTAGATCTAAGTAGTCTATAATCATTACAGTGAGCTCTTACCTTTCAACATACCTCATCTTACTCATAAATCAGAGCACTGCCAGCAGTTTGAACACAAGTTTTAGTCATAATAAAGTGACAGGTTTTCAGGTGAGTATTTCTTTTTACTACTTATGAAATCTAGCAGCTATTTCTCCTCCAATAATTTAAGAGTTCTATATTTGACACTGCAAGCTAGTAACCACAATCCTCTGCTAGACAACCTATTATAAAACCTTAAGCATAAAAGTCACAACAGAATTCTTCCACAAATATCCCCAAGGCAATTTTTTGTAGTATCAGAGAACCTTTGCATCCAAATACAGTAACGTTAAACAATATATAAATACAAAATTGGTGATGAGTAGGGAATTCAAACAGCCTTTAATGCCCATGTTAGAGAAATTAGAATATGGGAAGTATTTCATATTGGAAGGGACCCCAAAAGTTAGCAAATTCGATTCTTTACTGACAACAAATAAAGCTTATTAGACTCGAACAAAAAACTCTTGATCAGATTTTTGATCAGCAGTAAAGAACTGATGACTGCCATTTGAGACAGTATAATAATGCTGGGATTCTAAACAGTTGTCTGTTTATTTAACAATAATGTGTGACAGCTAAGGAAAACACTTTTTAATTCACAATAGAGATTAGCTGTAATCTTTATTTCCTAGTCCTCTTTTCTATTCTATTTGCCATTATCTCAAAGAATAAATAGATTCCCTAACCAGCCTCAAAATCTGTTTCTCCTTCTTCCACTCATCCCAAGACACACATGTTTTTCAGTTACTAATTCAAAGGGCAAGAAAGGAAAGAATTAAATATTTAACTCCTGTCCCTGCAAGAATAGGTAGAAATATTTTACTTGAAGATTTTTTGGCACCTGGCTCAAAATATCCAACAAGATTTTGAAGATCTCCTTGATAGGATTTCTTATCACTTGCAAAAGTTAACAATGAATTAAATAAGCTTAAAGGAGATTGTCAAAATTCTATTTTCCCTTTCCTTTGCCTAGTTCCTTTTTCTAACTGCCATTGTATTTAACTTCTCCCAGGATGAACAACTTCTTTCTGGTAGTTAACACAGTCCATGTACCTGTATCTCTTCACAAATTTTGAACAAAAAACCCTACCAGACTTTTACAGCTCTACATATTGCAAGCTTTGTTTATGCCAGGCATGAGAGATTCAGTCAGAATCGGTTTTTTAAAAAAAGGCTGTTACTAGTAGCAGTCATTCAAACATGGAATCTTTATGCTCACATATTGCAGACTAATCCTTTTATAAGAACATTTCTTTTAGAGGTCCTGTCCTGCTTTACTCTGCTTCTCTCTATACACAATGTGTACAGGTCTGTGCATCTAATTTAGAATTTCAGTCTCTGTTTTTAATATGCATAAGCATTTCAGAGGTAAAACTCAGGAACTTACTGAGTTGATAAAAAAAAAGTGTTTGCACCCTTTTCCTGTGCAAACAGGCCTGCAAAAATCTGATTAACCTGTTTATCCAGCATTTGTATCAGGCGTTGTGTTTTGTGTGGTCTGCTCACACAAGACAGTGTTCTTCAAAAGGGCGAAACCAAAACACAGAGGTGATCAGTGCCTTGCCTAACAGACAAAAACCAGCAGACAAGGAAAAATCCCAGGATCCTCAGACCAGCTGCAAAACACGGTTTAGTGTAATCACCTGAACATGCCACCTATTATTTGGTACTGACTTCTGAAGAAAAACTCTTTCAAGAGCCTAAATCCAGACTAGCAGGGAAGCAAAGAAATACAAAAAAAACCACTGCAAAACTGCAACAGCAATTGAGAAAGAGGCCAAAAAACAATGTGATACATCTTTCAGTAAATTGTATGCTTCCCAATGAATTTCATACTATTCAATACTAAAGATTAGAGTATTTAACATCTAAGCACATAAACTATTACAATGCCTTTTTTATTTTCAGAAAATGACAGGTACTTCTATGCAACTATTATACAGTCAGGACTTAGAAAGCCTCACAACAAAGTGAGTTTGAAAGCTGCAGTTCCTAGATCAGTATGACATTCAAAACAATATCTTATAAAAACCTTACCATTAATCCACTCCTCAAACCACTGATACAAACTTCACTTAAAAGTAATAATGTCTAGATGTTAAACTGCATTCCCCATTATTAGATACAGTGCACTTAACAAGAGAGCCTGATTTCAAAAACAGGCATTAAACAACTTGTCATCGACTAGAGACCAAAGGGGTGGTTTAAGTTCTATTTCACTGCCATAGCTATGCAAAATACTATTTTTAGCTGCTTTAAATTTTTATTTTTAGACAAATTGCTAGTTTTCCCCATGTCCTGAATATCTGAAGATTATAAGGTAACAAAAATAGCATCTAAGTGTTCTCATTCCAAAAAGTCTGCAAACCATTTTTTCCATTAAGGATATCTGCAGTAATGTCAAATGTGACGAATCCCAGATCACTTCTTTCTCTAGGTCCAGTGAAATCTTCTACATTTTTTCTAGGAGAAAACAAAACACAACACAAGATTATCCTTTCTCATTATTTATATCTTACACGTGACAAAAATTATGGTTTTTATTAGGTATTTCCCTCATCCATTTTCTGTATTTTGCTTTATATACTTCTGGCTAAAATGCAATCAACATTACAAACTAACACCTATCTTCCAGAAATTATGGTGTCCCAGTTTTAAATGTCAGGCCTTGACACCACAGTGTCTAAAACATATACGTAGCCTATTGACTTTTTCCTGTTAACAAAAATCTGTATATACAAAATCTAGACTACATTTCATTTTAGTAAAATCTGTTTTAGCATCTCCATATAAGTAAAACTGATTGGGACACCATCAGCATAGCAGTCTGCTGGCAACCACATTCAATATTATTTCTCAACTGTCCTTGAAGAAACAAAAAAACCCAAAGCATCTCATGAGGCTTTGACCATTCCAATACAACAGTTTACATGCATAGTTCATGCAAATTTCAAGATTTATTCCTGTGATGTATTTAAGTAACAGCATGAAGAAGATAGTTATTTTCATCTGGAAAAAAATTATAACATTCTGGAAAATGGTATAATTTTGGAAGGCTTTATTATAAGCGTACATTTGGAAAACTACCTCAGTTGCCACACTAAGTCACAATGGAAAGAGCAACTGGAAAATAACAGACACACAGCAGATACTGCCATATGTATTCATAAGGCTTATCAGTTTACCAAACTTACCATCTACAAAGAAGAATACCACAAGCAATTAGCTTGGCCATCAACTACGAACCTCAACTCTTCATTGAACAATTTTTTTATGAATTATGAACTTCATAGCTATATTTATTACAGTTCAGAAATTAGTCAATTAAAATATTATTTCATTAAAACCAGGTTTAGTAATCTCAAATTAAAAGAAAAGTTTACAAGTGAAGAAAACACTTTTGGAGATAGCAGATAAGAAAAACACCACCAAATCTTCACAATTTAAGCCTTGTTATGAATTTTCATCTCTTTGCAAAAAAGCAGTATATTTTTAAGTAGAAAACCTTATCAAGCACTTGACTTCACCTCTTAACCATTGTCAGTCAGATGGAGTAGCAGGCCTAAGTTTGGGGTCTCCAGAATTTCTTAGACATTCAAGAGAAGCAGATTAGGTGTAGCACCTCCCAGTAACACCAGATCTGTGTGTATCACAGAAGGGACTGGCAATTTCAGCCAAATCAGGCATTTGTATGCTGCCCTATATATGCTGAGCTCACCGTAACACTCGAAGACATGCCTTTATGTCAAGTTTGTGCTTTTGCAATCCTCACTGTAGCACTGAATACAGGTTATTGGTTTTTTTTCCCGTGGTATTAAACCAGTCTGAAAGGTGATGGCAGTCCCCTTATTTGCATTCATGTCTCCTTTCAAGTCCTGCCATTAGGCATCCACAGGTGACACCTACCTTGGGGTAGTTCCAAAGCTCCACAGAATCATCACCAAATCACAGAATAGCCTGGGTTGGAAGGGACCTTAAAGATCATCAATTTCCAACCTCCCTAACATGGACAGGGACACCTTTCACTAGTCCAAGCTGTGCAGAGCTCCATCCAACCTGGCACTAAACACTTCCAAAGTGTGCTGCTTAGCTCCCTAATCTGAGCCAAAACCAACCTAACAAAAAAGCATGACCTGAGTTAAAGCAGGTCAGTTAAATGTCCTATGAGCCAGATTCCCCAGTGGCCTCTAGTAAAGAACCACGTGGCAAAAACGGGAGCAAAGGCCTCCGCTCACAGGTGGCTGTAACAGCTGCTCAAATGCTTGTGAAACTACTGCTCTCCATATCACACATACTTAACTTAATGGAAGTTCTCTGTGAGGAAGTCTCCTTTTGGAGAAAAAAACCCCACCCTGAACTAACACCAAAATTGGGAAAAAAGGTTCCCCTGCACAAGTTTGCATCAGCCCATTTTAAGAGTAGGCAACACGTTCTGATGTGGTATTGTGTCCTACACCTGGTCCATTCCGCAGAGAAGAAGCCATCCCAATCACTTTGCTACCACAGAACAGAAAGTATGCTAGGTTATCAATGGGGAAACCCAAGAGAGCTACTAATCAAAAGCAAAACGTACTACGATGGGATAAATGTTCACAGGATAAACTCCACGTTCCTGTAATCCCTGTCTCTCCACAGCCGCGGGCAGCAGCTGGCTCCGCTCCGCTCCCGGGGAGGCGCGGGGCCGAGGCAGCCGGGCCGCTCCCCGAGCGCCGCCCCGGCTCCCGCCCGGCCGCGCCGTCGTGGGGCTCCCCCATTGGCCCGCCCGGAGCGCAGGAGGCCGAGCCCCGAGCGCCGCGCGAGCCGCCGGCCGCCCCTGCCGGCCGCCACCGTCCTCTCACCCGCCCCGGCCCCCGCTCTCGGCTCCCGAGCCCTTCACCACCTCAGCGGGCAGCGGCCGCCGCCCGGCCGGGCCCGACCCTCCCCCGCCACTCCCTTCCTTCCCTCTCCGCGCCGCACTCACAGCGTGACCCGGGAGACGGCGATGCGGACGGGCACGCTGCGCTCCTTGAAGGCGGTGGTGATGAAGCAGCCGAAGGTGAGCGCCGCCATCACGCTCAGCGAGAAGGCGAAGAGCGAGTTGGCCCGGGACAGCACCGTGTTCATCTCCCCGCTGGGCCCGGCCGGGGCTGCGGCCGCTGCTCGGGCGGGGCGGGCGCGCGGACGCGGCAGGAAGCGGGCGGCGGCGGGCAGGGGGCGCGCGCGCGCGACGGCCGCGAGGGGCGTGGCCTCGCGCCGGCTGGGCAGGCTCCAATGAGGACACGCCCCCTCCTCGACCCCGCCCCGTTCCGCCAGGAGATGGGCGGGGCCGGCGCCGGGTCGGAGCGCGACATGGCGGCCGCGCGGGGGCGCGTAGGGAGCTGTGGGGGTCACTGTCTGCCGCCGCTTACCGCGCTCCCAGGGCGCTTCCTCTCACAGGGCATCTGTCGCTCTGCTGGATTTTTGCATTCGTGTAGCAAAGCTCACGTGTAGCAAAACTCAAAGTAAATGAGTTTTAGACGGAGGCTTGTATTTTCAGTTGATGTCCGTATCTTGCTTTCACTGGTACTGTGATTTGCCATTCCCTCCTTTGCTTCCTATAGGATGTTCCTATTCATTTGCCTTTCATTACACACGTGCTCAGTATGACAATGTTCTTTGCCTAGAAGTTTCCTTCAGTAGCTAGGCTTGTTCCTGGAATCTTTTTCTTTGGCATGGTGATCTCACACCGTTGGCAGGTTTACCTTACCCCACCAATTTGGTTGAAGTTTCAATTTAAATTGGTACCAGCAAAGATCAGTTTAAGTAGTGAGGTGATTCCTTACTCCTCCCGGGGTCCCTCTTTGGTGCCCATTCCTGCTTCTCGGACCTGCAACGTTATCCATGTGGGAGCCCAGGGGAATGAGAGCTTTTCAATGCTTTGGGGCCCATTTTTTTGATGTTCCCAACCGCTGTATTCGTGTGTATTAACTATACCAGAACGGATAAATCGGGATTTCTGGGGGCTGCCAACAGGTGTCAGCAGTGATTCGGTTATGTTTAATTTCCCGGCCCTGAGGTTGCAGTGCTGCAAACACTGGGAGTAGCAGCAGGAGCTCAGATGCAGGAGTCTGGCAGGGTGGAAGCCTCATGGGGACAGAAGGGAGAAGAAGGTGGGCGCTGCCAGGCCATTCTGAAATACCTCTGTTCTATAATGATGGCGCTGTTTCCTTTCCTCCCTGTAGCCAACACCCAGGTCTATGAATCAGGGAATAAAAATCTTTGCAGATAAAGGTAGGAAATAGAAAAGGAAAAGGACCATACTGAGGCTTTTTGTTTCCCCCAGACCGAGTACCTGCAGCACATGTCAGTTTAGCCTGTAGGATGTGAAGGTACCTATGGGGACATTCCTTTGGGGACCCTGTGTTCCACTACCTGTGCATTTGTCACATTGGAATCAGTCACAAAGTGGGTAGACTCTCTTCTGGATTGTATTTCTTAAGTATTGGCCTTTCTGATATTTCATAAGAGTTTCAGCATCACAGAGACTTTCTTGTGTCAAGGTTTTAGGCTTTTTAAGAGCTTGTTATTATTTTATGCTATTCAAAATATTAATTATTGTCATGGTTTATGGTCTGGAACTTGTTGTTGCTGAAACCTTTGGATTATTTTTACTGAAAAGTGGGTACTTTTCCCCAAAATAGTTGAAGACAGAAGCATTAAGGAAGCTTTTACTGTAAGCTTCATTTCAGAAGTTATAAAATGTCTGCTGCTTTCTAAAGAATAGTTCAAAAGTGAATACCATTTTTTCTCATATCTACAAAGAAAAGAAGGCTTAATCACCTTTGTTCTTGTTTTTAGTTCATGTGGTTGCTATTTAAAGTTTTTCGTACTAAACAACTCTTTAATTAAAAAAATGGCTCTTTGGCAGAATTTACAGGAATAAAGTAGTGAAATTTTCAAAGCAGTCATTAGGTACCTGCAAAAGATCAAAATCAAAAGGCTTAGCCAAATTAATGTCTTTTTAAGGCAGTGCATAAATATGGCTATTGCTTGTGGAGGTTTGGATTTATTTTAGTAGAAACCTTAAATAAATGTCACTTAAAAGCACAGTAAACAGGGGAAGACAGATGGTGTAATTTATTCAAGGACTGATCTATTACTGTTTCAGAATAAAGAGACCTATAGCTTTTTAATGACTGAAGTATTGCAAAATCAAAATAGGAAAATATCTTGAAATAAGGCAGTTGTGGGAGATAATTATTCACAATAGCTGTCTGGTCATATGTTCTAGATTGCTTTTTGAAAGATATAAAGTCTGATATTTCATGAAGAATGGTGACATTAATGTCAAAAGCTTATTTTGCTGACAGCTAAATAAGTTGTGTTATTGGGAATTGAGGAAATACTTTAATTATGGAAACAAATTTGAAGGGACTTGGGGAAGCAGAAAAGTTTGGGAGACCATTTCCGAGATGCAGTGGAATGGTAGTCATTACACCATGCAGCATCCTTAAGCCCAGACCAGCAGAGCACAAGGCATGTCAGTGTTCAGGCTGGCTATTACTTCAAGAAATGTCGTGTTTTTCATTACAAACTTGTTGAAAAAAATGCAGATAGGATTGGCAGCAGGTCTGAAATGTAAAATTTGCCATCCTTCTCCTGTCCTCAGCCTAAAATTATCTGACTCAAAAATGAGTTTTTGTGCGCTCTTTGATCTATTAAACATGTGTTCTTTTTTTATAGTGCCAGCACTTCAGCAGGATTGATCCTTGTCAGCAGCTGATGATAAGTAGTCTTTTGAGAGAGAGTAGCTTGCTTTCTTTGGTTGACATGTTTCTACTCTGATGTTCAAGTTACAGAGTGATTCCTTTCATCATCTGTAAACAAAATAGCAAGTGTTGACACTGACCATCAACAGAGATTGCTATGAGTTCTTTGTTTTCCCACTGAAGCCATATTGCTTCTAACATGGGACACATAGGTGGAAGCTTTGGGGTGTATGTTGTGAATTTCAAGTGAAAGGGAGGTGTTAACTTCAGCCCAGCACCTGTAGCCTTCTTGGGGCTTAAGTTTCTGACTAATTTTACAGGTGAAAGTTTAGGTTCCAGTGGCATCTTTGGCACCTAGATAGATGAGGACCTTTTTTTTTGATCTAGGTACATGTATGTATGTATGTCCTGATCTTTTTTACCATGAATATCTAAATAGTTTCTTGTATTTGTCCTTTATTAATTGTTGAAATGTTAATTCTTTAAGAGACAGTAGCAGCACACAGCCTCTTAGGCAGCTCTGGGTAGGAAGATAAAGATTAAAATAAATGTGGCCATGATCAGCTGTCTCTTGCAGCAGCCCCCTTTCAGTTAACACCTCTTCTGGATGGCTCATTTTTACAGCTGGCGTGGAAAGGCTGTGACTAAGAGAAGAGGCTTTTTGGACTGCATTTGATTCTAATGTTCTCCTCACCTCCATTTTTTAAACTTTGGATCTACACAGTATGCAGAATAAGAAGATAAGCAAGAAGAAATTTTCACTTGTCTTTGTAGTATTACTGTGAATCCTTCAGCAAGAAAATCTCGGGTAATTTTTAATTTCTGATTTCAGAATGAAGTTGATATTTTACAACATTGTCTCATTTAGTGGCATAATACATGGCAAAATAAAAGATGCATCACAGAGATGCAGCTATGTGCTTTTGGCTCCAAAGTCAATATGTTTTGGAGCCTAACATACATAGTTACCTTTTGGCTCCTGTGAGGTTTGCCCATTTCATGGCCTATGAAGCCAGGCTAGGTAAATTCATTCAAGCATTACTAATTTAGCTTAACCTTTCTCACTCCATTGTGCTTTCCATTCTGGGCTAGAAACCCGAGTGCTACTGCTCCACCTCACCCAGGTTTTAACCTCATTCACTCAGCCAGTTGCAAGTCTTCCTCACAAGGTATTTTTATGTCTCTTGTAAAAGCACCAAGCAGAGACTTGTCATGCCTCAGCTTGAAGAAAAAGATGTTTTACTAGCTCTGTCATGGTGATATCATTTAGCTGATACCAATTTTAGTGGATGGAAAAAGCCTTTCTGTTACGAGCCCTAGCCATGGGAGTCAGCATATAATGACATAAGCTTGCAGAATAAACTTTAACTCTCATCCCTACTATTGACTGTGTAATTTCCTTTTATTAACAACATTCTTAAGCACCAAAATATGCTTTAAACAGAAAGAAGAAAAATTAAACCACTTAACCACTTTTACTTAGTCAAGAAGAAAACCTGACAAAGTTTGAAGAAAGGAGGAATAAAAGTAAACAAATGATTTCACTGTTTTGAGAAATAAAAATTATTTTTTGAAGAAAAAAGTTAAATGGTTAAAGAAATATTTACAGACTGCCTGTAACTTATTTATTAGAACAAAATTAACAATTTTGAATGGAATTCAAATTGATGACAAAAGATTCACAGCTTAAATATTGTTTTTATTTAGAGGCATCTATTTAATAAGAACAAGTGATATTTTTGCTGTTAGTTGAAGAAAAGATTGACTATAAAAACTGCAAAAATATCAGGTTTAGTTACATGAATTTAGGTTAATAAGGTGGTTGCACTGCCTACTAGAGAAACAGCAGTTAGTTTGTCAAGTTACCTTGACAAAAGCATAGCTCCTGTGGTACCACAATCCTAAGAGGTTGAGTTAGTTACCACAGAGGGAATCTGTGTTCTGTAGACATGGTTGGCAATGAAAGAAATTGCTTGGACCCAAGAAAGGAACTATACAAAGGGAAAGAGGTGCAAAATGAGGAGATTCTTCCCAAGATTCACTGATACACCTGTGTCAGTACATAAGGCCATCAAAAGTGATGCCTAAGTATCCTTAAGAAGAGGCAGTGAGTATGTGCATTTTGACATTACTCTCCCCTCATAGTTTGCTAGGAGTTTTTCCAGGGGGTCATTTGCCTTGTCACAGAATGGGTTGTAGGGGGTGGGTGTGAGTGGTTTTTTCATTGTAAAGTCCAACCAGATTGGTTTTAATTTATTAAGAGTTGAAATGGCCAGATTTTGAACTGAGGAATGTACCAGTACACATTCCTTCCTGTTGATTTCCAGCAAGGGAGAGAGAGGGGCAGGAACCTTTAGCTGAGGAATGGAATGGGCAGCTGGAGGTGGTAACTTTTTAAACTTCTGGGGGGCAAGATTTGCTAGAGTTCGTCT